TATTAAAAAGAAGGTTTAATAAAGGTAAATGAATATAGATATGATTGGTCTCAGTTTCGGTTTTTCACTATTGTTTGGTCTCAGTCTCGGTTCTTCACCAAGCCATTCAATATGAGACACCACCCAAAGAAACCACAGTGTGAGAGTTGAGACCAAACATAATTGAAAACACACAAAAATAATAAATAAATCAAGCACAAATATACAGCAAGATTTATTTAATTTTCTCACATCACTAAAAATATAAGCAAGATTTACACCAAAATTAGTCTAGTTAATGGGGTCTGGAAGGAGTAAACTATAGTCTCAGAGGGGTGTGTTCAATGGAAATGAGGGGTAATATGATAAAAATAAATCATTAAATAACTTATTTGAGTGTTCCCAAACCATGCCTTAATACATATTGAATGCCTCTTTATCAAAATAATTTTAATTGTGAAAGTTGGAGATATTGTTATAAATTTTAAATAAAATTTACAGTATTAAAAAAATAAAATTAGATTATGAGTAATTATAAAGGGCCTCAACTAGATATTTCAAAGTCATTTTTTTATTAAAAAATAATAATAGTAAATAAATAAATTTACAAATAGCAAAAAAAAATTATATTCATGTATATATTTTTTATTTTTTTTTTTGAACAGGTAAACATACATATATATATATATATACAGAGAGAGAGAGAGCATACCTGAGTAGCTGTCGTCGTCGAAGCACCACTGCACCACCGCTAGCCCTTCGCCGTTCGTCGCCCGTTGCTCGTTTGGGGATTTTGGGGGAAAGAAATTTTGTTTCAAACAATTTTAGGGATTTCGATCCAACTGAGCGGCAAGATGAAAGGAAAGAGGGGGGGAGGGAATTTTTTTTTTACTTTTTGCGACGGGACCTTTACACCGTCGCAAATGATACATAATTATTAATAAACCGACGTCATTTTGGTAATCCTTTTTTCGCGACGGACATTTGCCGTCGCAAATTGTCGAGTATTTGCAACAGCAAACTTATGCCGTCTCAAACATTTTTTTTTTTGGCGACGGTTCAACACGCTGTCACTAATACTTCCGCATTTTAATACCTGCCCGTGCAGTTTTATTACCGACGGTTAAACGCCGTCGTTAAAACTATTTTTTGCGACGGTTAATTTTGCCGTCGCAAAAGACCATTTTTTGCGACAGGGAACACGCCGTCGCAAATGCTTCCGTGTTTTTTGCCCTCTTTTCTTGTAGTGTGAATTCAACGTCGCCATCTATTGGTCCCACTGCACAAAGGCACCGTTTGGGAATTTGGCAACTTGATTTTTTTGCCTTTTAACTATTTTATGAGATGAAAAAGAAGTTATATTTGGAATGATTTGTGAATTTTTTTGTAATTAAATAGCTGGTTGAGAAAAAAAAATAATTGATTGATTTGTAAAATGTAATATTTTGCCTTATTGACTGTTTTAATTTTTCTTATATTTATTGATTATTTTAGCCAAAATTCCCGCTCCCAAACAGGGCCTCAATTGTTCTCTCAAGTTGTCCAAGCCCCTTGGTAAAACCTTCAACTCAGTTAGTTTTAGCCACATTTATTATATCGGTCATTGTTAGGAGGATGGCCATCATCATCGTCATTATTATTATGGTTGTGGTGGTTGCAGTAAGGAAAAATATCACATCAGTGGGTATTTAAAAAAATAATTGCAATCAATGAAAATTTTTCCAAAGAGTAATATGAAGATTCATAAAAAAAAATATATCATGACAATGATTATGAAATATTTTTTACATTTGGATTACAGATATAATAAAACACCACACATTAATCAAAGGATGAAATTTTTTTAAAATACATTTCATGATATTTTTTCAGAATTCCTAATATTATTCTTTGGAAATATTAATAATTAAATTTATAAATTTGTATTTTTTTTGTTTCTGCCTTCCACTGGGGTGTAACTACCTCCTTTTTTTAACAGCAAAAAATCTAATTTTATTAATGATAAAAAAAAAATTAAAAAATTAGGGAATCAATACATTAAAAAGCTAAGGTAGTAAACTGCATTATTGCCGACTTGGTACATACAAATCAAGCCAATCATATGCAATCACTAGCATGAACAAGGAGCAACCCTAAGAAGTTGGCAATGGCAAGATGCCATGGACCATACAACAACAAAACAACCAGAAAGCTAAATATCCTAGACAAATGAATTCCAATTTAATTTGACACCACGTGATGTAATTTAAAAATGAGATGATTTAGGTTGCATTTGGTTAAAAGATTTGAAGGGAGAAATGGAAAGAAAAAAGAAATGTATTCTCACTTTATTTGGCTATAATGGAAAATACAAGCGAAAAGAAAGGGAGAGGAAAATGCAATCTCACTTTTTGTCTTTTGAGTTCACTTATGCTCTTTCCTTTCTCCATTTCCCAACTCAACCAAACATTGCTTGGAATTCAAATCCTATCACTTTGCTTGGTTTCACTTTTTCAAAAACATTTTTCAGAAAATTTTACTTTCTTATTTTATGTGTGTTTTTGTTTTTACTGAATTTTTTTTAATATTTTAAGCAATTTTTTTAATTTTTAAACATACCTAACTTAGATGTATCTAAAAAGTAAATTTTTTTTGAAAAAGCCTTTTAAAAATTCACTAAATACCAAATATATATATATATATATATATGAGAATTCAGTACATTTTTTTGTATTTTTATGTATTTATTAATTTTTTAAAATATTTTTTCACAATTTTTTTTACTTTTTAGATACATCTAAGTAAGATGCATCTAAAAATGTAATAAAAAAATGTTTAAAATTTTTAAAATATTCACTAAAAACAAAAACCAAAAAACTTAGTTTTCAAAAAACTTATTTAAAAAAACTCAAACCAAACACACTGATTAGTTCTTTCTCCTTTTTCTTTTTCTTTCTATTTCATTTTTCATTTTCATTTTTATTTTCATTTTCATTACCAAATATATATATATATATATATAAGAATTCAGTACATTTTTTTATATTTTTATGTATTTATTAATTTTTTAAAATATTTTTTCACAATTTTTTTTTACTTTTTAGATGCATCTAAGTAAGATGCATATAAAAATATAATAAAAAAATGTTTAAAATTTTTAAAATATTCACTAAAAACAAAAATCAAAAAACTTAATTTTCAAAAAAGTTATTTAAAAAAACTCAAACCAAACACACTAATTAGTTCTTTCTCCTTTTTCTTTTTCTTTCTATTTCATTTTTTATTTTCATTTTCATTTCGGTCATCAAATCTTCCAACCAATACAGTCTTAGAGAGAGTGCACTGATGCTATCCTTATTCTTCACCGAAAATGCAACCTTTACCTTGATAAGATCAGACAAGGCTCCGAAAGAGATGCTTCCACCATTAAAAATAGGGCAAATTATAAACACACTCCCTGAGATATATTTAAATTACAAATTATCTTTTGTGGTTCTAGAAATTACATTATGTCCCCTAAGGTTTTTAATTTCATTACAAATAGATCATTTTATTAATAAATTATCAAATTAATTAATAGTTTTTAATAATGTTGAAAGTTTATTTCAATTAATAATTCAGATAATGTTATCATTATATAGGTGAACAGTTAAAAATTTTATTTTTTCAATTAATTTTGTTAAATAAAAAATTATGACAGGGAGATTTTTGTAATTTTTCAAACTACAGGGAACAATTCGTATTTTAAGCAAATCTCAAGGGGTATATTTGTAATTAACCCTTAAAAATATAAAAGATAAGAAAATAATAGTAAAATGAAAGAGGGACGGCCATTGAACCAGAAAGTAAGTTCCCTATGAAATTACTTGTGCCAAAAAAAAAACAGAATCATGGAAAAAAATACCTTTCATTCATGTATTTTTCCTTTTGGTCTTTTCTATCTTATGAGTCAATGTGCCTGATTTTTTATATTTGAATAATGATGATAACTTTGTTCTGTTTCAAATATATGTTGGACTAAAAACTGGTATTTCATATTACTAGAAATACCGCCACATTTTTTTCCTCATTTATTTAATTTTTTATTTATTTATTTATTTATTTTTTGTGTGCAGTAAATCAACACACATACAAAAAGAGGAAAAAAATTATTAGGGACTTTTGACATTTCATTGATCACATTCAAAGCCATGTATGGTTCATGACTCGATCAACTAGATAAGAGATTTCATCAATAAAGGACTTTATTGATGAACTAGACAAGAGATTTCATAATACTTCTTGATCATCTCATTTATTGATGTGCTTTCATATCTAATGTCTATTGATTTTATCAATAAAATACTTTTTCTTTTGACCAACCAACCAACCAACCAATCAAACCAAGCGTTGAGTCCCATCAAATGGGGTCGACTACATGAATCCTTCTTCTCCACGCGGCCCTATCAAAGGCCATTTCATTAGTCAAATTAAATAGATTCATATCTCTATTTGAAACGCTAGTCAATGTTAATCTAGGCCTAGCCCGTCCCCTAACACTTCCATCTACCGTTACAGCATCGCATCTCTTCCATCTACCATTTCTTTTGACAATCAAAAAAAAAATAAAAAATAAAACTAGACAAGGAGAACATATATATGAAAGAGAGCATTTTTAAACACTACAATGATTTTGAGTCCAACTTTGGAGGCATAATTGTGGGTACAATCTTCAATCGAATTATATCCTTCTATTATTGATAAATTTGAAGTGATCTGTTAAGTTTTTATTTTTTATTTATTTATATTTTTTTTTTAGATCTGGAAGAAAATCAATATTGATCTAATTTTTGGAAGATGATAGAAGATCGTCATAATACTTCTTGATCCACCCTTTGATGATCTTGACCTCTTCTTTCCGTTGATTTGTCAACCATTTTGGATCACTTTGGCTTTTCCAAAGAATGTCCAACTAGGCCTACCCCGTCCCCTAACACTTCCATCTACCGTTACAGCATCGCATCTCTTCCATCTGCCATTTCTTTTGACAATCAAAAAAAAAATAAAAAATAAAACTAGACAAGAAGAACATATATATGAAAGAGAGCATTTTTAAACACTACAATGATTTTGAGTCCAATTTTGGAGGCATAATTGTGGGTACAATCTTCAATCGAATTATATCCTTCTATTATTGATAAATTTGAAGTGATCTCTTAAGTTTTTATTTATTTATTTATTTATATTTTTTTTTAGATCTGGAAGAAAATCAATATTGATCTAATTTTTGGAAGATGATAGAAGATCGTCATAATACTTCTTGATCCACCCTTTGATGATCTTGACCTCTTCTTTCCGTTGATTTGTCAACCATTTTGGATCACTTCGGCTTTTCCAAAGAATGTCCAAGCAATGGGATCCTGCAAAGTTATATTTCACCAAATATTTGAGAACAGATACTTGTTATATATCACCAGATAAATTTCACTGACATTTTTTTTCATCATTTGCGTGACTCCATACAACATATGTCATGTACACATATAAGGGCCAATATTATATATTCAAAGGGAACGGATTGCCATCTCCAGTTTTGGATCCACCGGGAGTCTCACTCTAACAATCAAATATGTTCATTTTGTAAGTTGTTAAGTGCAAATTATCTATTCAATTTTTTTAAAAAAAAATTAATCAAATTATCTGAAAATTATAACCATATAATTTTATCATTTTTTTTTTCAAAAAATAGACAGCAAACATAATTTTAAAAATATTGCCATCTATTTAATATTTTTTTTTAAATGATGAAATTATATCATTAGAATTATCAAATTAATTTAATTAATTTTTTTAATTATTTTCATTATTTTTTAATGAATGATCTACACCAAAAACGGTTCAAGACAAAGCTGCATATATCTAGAAAATAATGTTGGCTCCTATTTTCTTATGATATAATGAGTTCTATATCTGCACTAACATTTGCCATGTAAATCCACAACAAACATACACAAGCAAACATATGTATTGATTGTTTATTGTAGAGATATAGGTAAGCACATACCATTAACCGTATGAACAGCAACAACACTATCTGATATGTCTTTCAATACCCTACAATTAATCACGCAAACAGAATTAAACTGGGGTCAATCAGGTAATTTTTGTTCAATTTTACTTTGGTTTTTTCTATTTTTGAAAAAAGACACATCTTTTTTATTTACCCTCCACTGCTGTAAGGATCTCTCAAACCATTGGAGAAGATGATGTTGCTAGCAAACCTCTTGAGAACCATGTTTATATCCTGCAAATTGCATTTGAAAATATTTAAATTTGTACGACGCATTCAAGAAGAAAAAAAAAAAAAATTGATGAAGGCAACAAATTTATTAGAAAGGTCAGCAACAAAAATAGAGAACACCCAATTTTAAAAGTTAGAATCCGGAATTATAAATAGAAAAAAATTACACAATTGAACCTAGAACCATGTTTATATCCTGCAAATTGCATTTGAAAATATTTAAATTTGTACGACGCATTCAAAAAAAAAAAAAAAAAAAATTGATGAAGGCAACAAATTTATTAGAAAGGTCAGCAACAAAAATAGAGAACACCCAATTTTAAAAGTTAGAATCCCGAATTATAAACAGAAAAAAATTACACAATTGAACCTGCAATTTGCTTATAGTGCCAATATAGTCTTTCAGTTTCAATTCCATCAATTTTGTTTTTTAATTTTTTTTATATTGTGTCAATTTAATCAAATTGATAATGTGTTTAAAAAAAAATTTGATAAAATTCAAGGGTTATGAACAAATTTAACCTTCATTTTTGTAATAAAATAGAATTTACAAAAATTAAATTAACACAAGAAATAAATTACAATAGGCACTAATCTATTTTGACTTCATAAATATGTGGTAGAGACTGCATAGAAAAATAGTAGTAAATTAAATTAAATGGAGAAGAATAATGAAAAGGACATACATGGCCTCCATAGTAGGTAGTGACCCAATGAGGCCTTGGTGGGACTCCGTACATACTTTTGCAATCCTCAATGAAGCTGCTAAGAATGAAAGGTTTTGCGAAAAACATAGTATCGTTGCTGCCACGGCCAAGGGGAATCACCATTTCACTACATTCCTACACACACACAATACAGATTTTTAAAGATCACACACACACACACACACACACACAACACACACACACACAACTGGAGCTTGGAGCTTGAGTTAGCTCCAAGCTTCTTTTTATTAATATACTGTATTTCCCTTAACATGCTTTCATTAATAAAGATTTTTTTGCCGATAAAAAAAATATATATATATATATATATAAATTCAATAATCTTTAATTAGAGAATTTTAACGATCACACAATTCCAATATGCACACAAAAGAAAGTGATTGCAACAATAATGAAGTTTGTGCATTGAAATTTTGATGGTGAGGATGTACCAATTAGTTGTCCTCAATAATGGTGTTTTTAGATGCAACTGTAATGTTGAGAGATTGAATTAAAACACTTGTTATATTAGGTATTAAATGGAATTTTTTTTTTTTTTTATATTTTGAAGATAAAATAACACAAGACTAATACTCTAAGAAATAAAAATATAAAAAAAAAATACATTAGTAGTCTCTATATTTTGATTCTTGTGTTATTTTGATATTTATAATTTCAATTAAATTGATTTTGACCTTAAATTTATGATTTTATCTAAATATGATCTAATTGATTACAACCGTTATTAACCAAGGCATTTGGCCTAATGGTTGTATAGCACCATTTGTGGCGTGAGGTTTCGGGTTCAACTCCTATAGAGAGGAGTCCGGTATCCTTTGTGATAATTGGTTTATTTCTCCTCTATTATGAAGATTTTATGTGATTAGTAATAGTTGTTTGGCGCTTCGTAGATTGGTTACACTTTGCTGACTTTCTAGTTATTGTGGGTTAATGGTCTATTTGATGATGTGAACATTTTTCAGAAGAAAAATACTTTAGACACTTAATTTATCATCTCTAAAAGTCACTCCTAATAATGTGTATGACAAATGTCAAAATTTGATTTGTCAAATATTTCATCATGTGAGGTCTAAGCACAATGCCACATCATTAGAGGCCATTTAGGGGTGATATCTTAAGGTAATGTAGCATTGGTGTTTTGATAATGTGACTACTCTCTTATCTATTGACCAAAAAAAGATTACAACCATTATTGTTTTTTTTATTTATTTATAGAAATGTATGCATAAACGGCATTTGTTATGTTTTTATAAATAAAATTGTAAATTTGTTCAACTTAATGAGTTAATCTCAATAAGCTTAATGATTATTTTTTTTCGAAAATCGTAATCGGTGTTATCAATTAAACTAAATTGATACAAAATTTAAAATTAAATATTAAAATTGGGTTAATTGAAATTTCAAAAATTAAAATGACACAAGAAATAAAATGTAACAACGACCAATGTAATTTGCCTAAAAGTTTAATTAATCGTAAGAAAAATGCTAGGAACCATCTCTTACGGACCTTGAATTTATCCCAAATGTGTTTGTGTGGTAAAAATTGAATTGATGAAGTGTGGGGTCCACATATAAAATGAATCTCGGCCACTGATTTTCTTTTTAGGGATAAATTTTGAATTAATAAGGATAAATTTATAGTATTGTTATTGTTAACACCATAAATCTGCAATTTTATTATTATATAATTGCAGGACACGTGGCATCCTCTTATCCATTTGGAAGTTAAAAGAAGTTATAGAGATAATGGAGAATATGAAGGACAAAGTGGATGAGTGGGAGGACAAAGTGGATGAGTGGAATGACACATGGCAAGACAAGAATGAAGATGGAAGAAATGGGTAGTTACTAAGTAGTTATTGCTGTATTTTTTCTTCTATAAATAGCCATTAATGGCTACATTGTAAAAGGATCCAGAACTTAAATCAAAAACACTTGATTTCAATATTTCTTGTCATTTTCCTTATCTTAGGAGTAGTTTAACATAGATTTATATTTCGAAGCATTTATTTTCAGCATTTCCATTTCGAAGCATTTTATGCACTTTCTTTTCGAAGCATAGGAGTAGAGGTAAATAATTATTACTTCGATTGTTCACTCAATCATCTTTTATAACCGTAAATTAACATATCCACAGCAGAAGTTGATAATCAAAAATAAATGGTGAGTAGTTTTTTAAAATCAACTTTCTTGAGTTAAAATAAATTATTAGAATTAAAAATTATTTAAAATAAATTTAACTAAACAGTCTATAAGAGAGTGGGAAAGCATAAAAAAAAGGATAAATTACACTAACACCTCCTGAGGCTTGGGTTTAATGCATATCACCCCTTGACGTTTGGAAAATTACACTAACCCCTCTGTCATTGTAATTATTTAGACAAAATGAAGCTATTGAACTCATGCACACTCTATTTTCTTGTTTTGCTTTACTTTCTCTCTTTTTTTTTTTTTTTTCCCCTTTCC